ACGTAATAAGTTTAAAATTCAATTGCAAAAACTGCCGTTGGTTTTCGTTCGAGCGATTACCGTCAGTTTTCAATTTGATTTCAAGCGATTTCGAACTGATTTCAAACTGATTTCAAGTGATTTCAGGAGAGTTTAGGTGGTTTCAGGTGATTTCAAGTGGTTTCAATGTGATTTCAGCACTTGCGTACACCTGATTTCAAGGGTGAATTACCCCTCGTCTTCTAGTATATTCATTTCGTTTTTAATTTACCCGAAATTTGGACTAAATTTAGTATAACCCACTATACCTACGCCTAAATCCCCCCGATTAATTACAGGACCAGACCCTTCTTGGAATTGTAAATTTGCATGTCTGTCGGCCCGTCCGAGGACTCGAGCGGAAGTTTCTAGGGGTTAAAAACTGGGTATGTAATATCCTCTTGACCCGGGTCAAAAGTTGCCAAAGTACAATCATTTCTCCGGTTCTTCGATAGTACCTACGTTTTAAGTACCTACCAATTTTATTTTCATTTTCAAAATAAAATTTCCCACTTATACCATAAATATGTACAACGTTGTCAGTTGCAAATTCATTGTATCCCACACGAGTGAACGCGCTTATAATTCCTCGTCTTTCCGTCCGTCAATAGCGCGATGTGATTATAGAATATTATAGCTCGGAGTATAGCTATAGACCATCTCTCGTCTCTTGCTTATGTACAGGGTGTCCTATTAATAAAGGTCACAGGCCAAATTATCCGAGATATTATCTATAGAATTGTTAGTTGCACAGCATGGGATTTTGTTAACAAAAGAGGCTAAGAGAAATCGCTTGAAATTATTTTCAAGTTTCTAAGTTTGATTTTCTCGCGCTGGGAGATGTACAATTCATGGTTAAGTAAAAAACTGATTTTTTTCTCAAAATATGCCCAACAAACATGTATAAAAATACACGCGTCGCAATGTTGTATTAATTTTGCATGCAGCACATATTGCACTAGCTCATAAAATGAAAAAGACAAGATGAAAAAGTAAAAATATCAATGAAAACAGCATTTTGATATCTTGTTTCGAGAAAAGTGTTACATTCATTTCTGAACAAAACATCCACGGATAACTAGATCTTGCTGAACGAACATGGATGGCTATGACGCTCGCTATGACGTCGATGCATTCAAATGAATTTCTTTTTTTGTCCTCTATCTCATTACGTAACAAATCCAATGTGGCGCCCATATAAAGACTAAGAAAGTAGTAGACTGTAGCCTGTAGCTTCTCCATCTATAGCGTGCTACGGAAATTCTGCTAACAGAATCAGATTCTCCGAAAAAAGTGCCCATAGAAAGTGCTAACAGGAATTCCAACCGTTTTACCTAGGGAACATGAAAACAAAATGTTGAGATTTTCAGTTTTTCGGTGTGATAGTACATATTTCATATTTCGTTCTCTTATAGATTCGTTGTTGGTGAGGTTGTTGGTGAAAATCGTTGTCTGCTCATTTTCATATATTGATAACAGGATATATTAAAAAAATTGGGTAATAAAGAGAACCAGAACAATTTTTTTCCCAAATAAACCGAGAGTCCAACTTGTTGCGTTTGTGAGCTACCCTCAAAAAAGTGGTGAAATTTGCATTTATTCTTTAATTTTTTCTCGGCAACCATAAGAGTTACAAAGATGGGTGGGTCTTCGAATAGCTGTTTACGTCGAACCTTTCCGGTTTTATAATGTTTTCTTAATTTTACCCCAAGTTGTCGCACCCTTAGACGGGGTTGCAACAAAAAATGTTGATCCTGTTCATATTTGGTATTTGACGATTTTAGAACATGAAAATCACTATAGGTATTATGAAATTAATTTTTAAAATTTCGAAAAAATGCCAGTCCAGTTCTTGACCGGTCAATGAAAACGACAAGAATTCCACGAAATTTGCTTTGTACATACTCCGTAAGAAACAAAACAAGAAATACCTACCTCGATAGGTGGTTATTGCTTATTAAAATAGTTTGTTTATTATCTAACAAAAACGCGTTTAGTAGGGAGATAAATACACAAATCAATTTGACATTGATCATCACTTTCCGTTGGCCTAATTTCCAACACCTATTTAGAATTGTTTCAAAAAAGCCATTTTTCTTTTATCCGCCAATCGAAACATATGTTACTTCAATATCAAGTCGGCTGTTGTTTTATCTCATCCGTTTAACAACTTACCTAAAAATAATAGAACTTGCATGATTAAGTGCGCCATAATTGCTTGTAAATCTTCAGTTTGGTGGGTTTTTTGGGTTTTATACTTTCTTTCTTTTCAAAATGAATCAAAATTATTCGAGTTCAACATTCATTTCATGTATGGGTTGACTAATTGAAACTCGTTTGAGGCTCGGCAATTGTAAAGAGAAATATTTCCCTACTTAAAAGTTAAAGACTTCCAGACAGCAGACAGTTTTCTTCTGCGCCGCCAAGGCATCCAGGTCACAGCGATATTGAATTTGAAGAGAAAGTAATGCAGCAAGATGACGAAAATCCCTCCACCTCACCGTGGGAACCACAATGTCTAAGCGTCTATATTATTAACGGGTGAGGCAACACGAGGATCATCAGTCGTTTGTAAAACGGGCCTAATAGGCGGAGGACATCCATCTTGTTCAAAAAACCAATATTCAAATCAAGTATAAAAGTAATTTTTTTAAAACTGTTCGGAAATTTTGTTCCTTAACTCATGAAGTATGTACACAACAAATTTCGTGGAATTCTTGCAATTTTCGTTAGCAATTTTTTTTCGAAATTTTAAGGATTAACTGCAGATTCCTGATTTTCATGTTCAAAACACCCCCAGATACCAAGCTGTCGTTTAGGAGTGCGCCAGCCACCTTAAGGTAAGAATTTTGCCACCCGTCTTTGTACTTTTATGGTTGCTGAGAAAAAAATTAAAGAAGCAATGCAATTTTTTAGGGTAGCTCGCAGACGTTGTGCTCTCGATTGTGCCCTTAAAAAATATTTGTTTTTATCCCCTCTATCATCCAATTATTTTCTACATACTTATATGCTCCGCCCTGTATATATGAAATAACCTTTGAGAAATAAGCTTGTACTGTAAACTGGATGTACCAGTCCTCATGCATGATTTTCAATACGTACTTATACAGGGTGGTGCCTCGCGCAACGCAGCATAGGGATTTCAATGGTAATTTCTTTATAGTCAATTACTAGCTCCCCAAATTATTTTAGAGCAAAAGTCTAAATACGTTTTTTAGAGAAAAAAATACTGCATCTGTTCATACTATTAGTTATAATTTTCCATTTTTCAAAACCGTAGAAATCGAGAAAATAAAAAATTACATTTTTATAAATCAGTGATGCTTTGGAATTTTTCAACAAACTAGAAGAGCATCGCATCTAAGTTATCGTTGTTGACGTCGACCGATTTTCATATTTAATTCTGTTTCAACTACCGACGCAATAAAAGGCATCTTAGGGTAATGTTTTTTTAGAGAATGTATGCTGCATCTGCATCAGATACTATTTGTTTATCATTTTCCGAACCAGAGTACCTACATAATCGAAGAAAAAAAAACTGATTTGAAGAAGATTTGTTCCTAAACTTATATTCGGATTTTCCGCTACTGCAGCCAAAACGTTGAATGTATTGTCGTTTTCCTGATGGTGACGGACATTATGAACGTTATTGCACTTGCAGTTCTTTAACTAATTTATAAACAAGTATAAATTTAATATACGTCAAAGGCAAATAATGAAACGTGATCGCTTTTTTTTTAGGTAATTCCAAGGCATATTTGATTTATTGTAAAATGAACCTTTTTATTTTGTCGATTTCTACGGTTTTGAAAAACGGAAAATTATAAGTAATGGTATGAACAGATGCAGTATTTTTTTCTCTAAAAAAAACGTATTTAAACTTTTGCTCTAAAATAATTAGGGGAGCTAGTAATTGACTATAAAGAAATTACCATTGAAATCCCTATGCTGCGTCGCGCTAGGCACCACCCGGTATATTGCGGTATCGTTATTGCGAAACTTCACAGCAAAATCTATTGCTGGCTTCATACGGGTACTCTCATTGACTCATCATAGTTCATTAGTTCTCTATCTAAAAGAAGCATTTTGGGAGGTGGAACAATCGTGTGCGACCTTTTTAAAATAAACTACTTAGAATTCGAACTCCAGAACTATTTTAGGTACAACTGGAACTACCTACTAGCGACAAGATCAAGTTTTTAAAAAACGATCTTATTTTTGGGATTGTGAATATATGAAACACGGAACTTTTATTAAAACCAGTTAGGAACTGTAAAACTATAAGTGCAAATCGATGTGCAAACAAAAAAGAAACTCAGACATTTTTGTAACTAGGACACATTACAAATCACAGGTTTGTTACAAAATTGATGGCAAAGTCTACGAGTGGGAAATTCTGAACTTTTCGACAACGGGAAACCTATTTTTTCGATTACTGAGAAATGTAATGACCAAGAATCCCATTAAGGTATCAATGTCGTTGAATCGTAACTTTTTGAACACGTTTAGTATTTAATAACACTTGGTCAAAAAAATGTAATTGAAATACAAATGGAACGTTTTTGATAGTGTAAAGAATTTCAATCAGTGAAATGATTTAGTCATGTCTAACAGCGCCAAAATAAATATGTATCTGATAATTTATAACCGCATCCTGGTAAAGTGTGTGCAGCATGTATCACTGCCGTAGCGTGTAATGAGATCACCCCCAACTCCATTTAGAATGTGAAGATTTTTGAATGGAAGCATACCTAATATCTGTATTATACTATGATGGAAGTAAAAGGCGTCGTGGCCCTGATCTATTGAGCTATTGTGATGAGTAATTAATGCAAATATGTCTATCTATTTTACATCGTTTTACTTTAATACGAATCTGCAATAAACGTTGGCGATAACTCTCGAAACCATTGTGATAACGTAAAAGCAAGAATATGTACCCGAGAGTGCACTTGACATTTTTTGAAAACTAATGAACGTACCTAATAGCAGCAACTTGATATCCCTTTTCGCACGTAATCCGTCTTCCTTAATTTCTTGATCAATTTTTTTCGTTCGAGCAATCGCAGCCCTTTCCTCCGCCGACACCGTACATCCCATCATGAAAATTGGGCACGACGTTTTGACGAATTTTTTTCAACGCGCCTTTATTTCAACACTTACGCTCGCGGAGGAGCAAAACTGAGGATTTATAGGATCACCTTAATCAATTTAAGAATCAATATACCACACACTCCACTCACTAAAAAAAACTATTCAAAAACAGATAATCTATCTTTAAATAGCTTTTGTTCTGTTTAAAATCCTTTCACATTAAACAAGCGCACTCTCACTAATAATATCTTTGAAGTCGGGGAACTGCTTATCAAATAATGCTTCCTGTTGCACACAAAATAATAATCCGTTTTAATTGCCGTACGTTCTTGTACTAAATTGCTCGTAAAAAGTCGACGACGACGCTTGGCTTGTTACACAAAATTATTTCTACGCGAAAACGTTATCAAGTACAATAGCAGCCGCAAAAATGAACAAACGGCGACGCTTTACACGTAGGAAGCGTATGACATATATAGCACCGGCAGCGGGCAGATGGTTCTCCTGCTCATATGAGGCCTCAATCCCCCTCTAAAACTAATACATGTATACATATGTGCGTATCAGAGATAATGAAGTGGCTTTTTGTAAACTTTAATGCATTCGCTAACAAGCCGACCAAAAAAAGTTAATTTTGTTTCGCAATTATACGCAAATTATGATCGGCATTAAAACGACCCCCTAAAAAGCAGACCGTTATTGATCCATCCCTTATAATTTTGTCACTATTAATAGTAGCTATTGCTGTATAGAAAGCGTACGCCACGTTACCTTTATATTATATTAATTTCCTTTTTTTGTAATCCTGGGATGTTAATATCATTGATTTTGAAAGTCGAGAATAGTAGATACCTATCTCTAAAGCTTTTGGTACTTTTCGAACAAAAATGCGTTTTGTTCCATGAGAGGTGTATGTATTTTACTACAGCAACCAAACATTTTCTCTAGCTAGAGCAAGTCCCTTTCATACTCTACAGCATTTTCGAAGGGGGAAGTTTTGACATCTCGAATAAAATAACGTAACTGCAGAGTTCAGATTGCCAACCCAAAGGAAACGTCTTTCGAGGACAACCTTAAGGTTGATTTTAAAAAATTGTGCGGTGTAATCTGTTGTGAGAATTTCCCAGAAAAATTGAGCATATTACATCTAGTCAACGTGAATGTCAAAAATTTACTCTGGTTAGCACAGATACCACCCACACACCTGCGCATGCACGATTCTGCGCTTTTATGTCGAAAAATATGTGTACCAAATTTTGTTTAAACCAGTTCAGCCGTTTAGCCGGCAATAAGAGTACATACAGGCAGACCGATCGACGTCTTCGAGATTTTGTTTGATTAGTATTCCAAACGTGTATTTCCATTAAAAAAGTGTGGGAGATCATTTTTTACCGCAATATCTCCCTTACTAAAGTGCGGGTGGTAAAAATGTATAAACGTAGCTAAATGTGATCCACTAAGGGCCGGCTCTACAATTACCCCTTTACGCATCAGAACAAGCGACATATATCCTATTCACGATTCAGATTAACAGTGAGACCTCTGGTAGCACCACATTGTAATTATTATTGATGGTATAAGACCACAATTTGGTTTATTTGCAATTAACAAAAGTAATCAATATTGTACTTTTTACGGGTGTAAAAGTAAATACACTTTCATATGCAATCAATGTAATTACACTTTAAAGAGCAAGGATAGTTTGAAACCTTCACATTTTATCACGTTATACTTTCAAGAATTTGAAATGTGATCAGTGCAATTATACAACCCCTAATAACGATAAGTTAAAGAATCATCGTCTAACGCGTAACATTTCCAAGCTCTTAATTGTGAACAGTGTAATTACACACCAAAAAATAGGTGATATTTATGTCATTCATTGACACACTCCGCTTTGAATAACTTTTTACCCCTGCTATCAGTGTAATTACGCTACAATTAAGCATTCCCTTAAAGCGTCACCTATTAACACACACAACCTTCTCAAACATTTTATTTGTGAACGGTGTAATTGCATTACTCACGATAAGTGGCATATTCAGATTGAAGGATGTTACCGTGCACTCTGTGCGATTAGGTATGCCACAAATATTAAGAAAAAATCGTCATTTATTAAAGCACAACAAATCGAAAAATACCGATTATTTAAAATTGTGGTCAGTGTAATTGTGCCAGGAATAGTAGGAATTGGTTGACGCAATCGTAACCAATGCAACCGTCGACGTTTATTCTCGGTATACTAGTATGGAATGAAATTATTGCGGGTCTGACTTAGACTTATAATAAGCTAGAGAAAACCAATAAGCATTATATGAGTGTGAGGGAGATATAACTTTACCAATATTGAAATTGACCGTAGCAATTAAATGTGTCATTGATACTAGCCTATTCAAAAGACGCATCCGCGCTTTTGGTTTGTTGTGTATTCTATCTCATTTCACACTCATATAATGCTTAAAGTATAATCGACGTAAGGGAGTGTCGGCGAGTTGTTGTAGAGTTGTAGGTACGAGTGCACTAGAAATTGAATGATAAATTTTGATGTTTATTTGTAATTAGAAAATTAAGCTAATTATGTTCCAGATACAGCTATTTATTTACTACCATACTTTTAACATCAGAGCGCTACTTATATTTACTAGTTACAAAACGCTTTAGAAAATATTCTTGATAACGCAGCCCTTCAGTGGCGTAGTGCAGATAAGTGATGCTCGCGGCGCGATGATAACTTACCACCCCCGGGAGAGGGGGGGACATGATAGTGAGATTATAGTTTATCATGAATCATTATGTATCTGCAATCTTCCGAGCTTTCCGTGAGGCGAAGTCAAGAGGTACAAAAATGCAACGAGGAAAGGTTGTTATTAGAATTAACAGAAAATAGAGGTCAGAGAATATCTTTTGAAAGTATCACGAGAGTTCTCCTCAGGGCCGAGAGTTTTAAGTACAAGTTAAAAAGGCCTTATGCAAACATAAATGACGAGAGCGTATTTTCCTCCTAATTGTTAATGCTGTCCCATTCTCTTCATGAAATGCTTTCGTAAATAGCATTGCGCACTGTCTACTTTAGAAATTTTATTGAATACCTTCATAAATAAAACATACCAGCATGCGTTAACAGTAATTTTGAAACCGGTATTAGTTTTAGTTTCATTCAAGGTGCCTACATATGATATTTCGTTTAACTGCTTTCACAAATAAGAAAGTGGCCATTGCGCATGCGCAAAACAAAATTTTGCAACTGGTGTTAGATTTGTCTTTATTCCAAATGCCTATGTATAAAATTTCATTTAAATCCCTCCATAAATAAGAAAGTTGGCATTGCGCATGCGCAAAACCGCATTTTGAAACCGTCGTTAATTTTACTTATATTCGTAGTGTTTACATATAAAGTTTTATGCGTTAAACCAAACTTTTGACCAAAAAATATGGGTATGCACGGAATCCTTGGACCAAGCCCGTTCAATTGAGCCCCATATCGCAAAATTCGGTTCAGTGGTTCAGAAGGAGTACGTGTGACGGACAGACGGACGGACGGACCGACGGACGTCAAAGTGCAGCCAATAGCGATTTTTCACTTTGAGGGAAATACGCTAAAAAACGTAACAACGGGGGTTATGCGGGTCACTCTGTAATTGGGCGCAAGCCTGTTGAGAGCCCAGAACAAGAGAGGGATAATAAATAAACAGGAAAAGAGACCTAATTTTCCTTTGCGCGAGGGGGGGGGGTATTCTATTCGGGGTATTCTATTCCCCGTATGACATTCCCATTTTGTATCTGTTCAAATAAAACTAAAACGGCAAATTCCGTCTAGTTTTCTTTAAAGCATGATCATAACTCTTTAATTGCGCTACTTTTCCCTAATTTAACCATCGTCGTATCTTCTATGGCGAGGCCGTGCTATTTTATGAGATACAGTGATATTTATTTAGAAGCAAACATAGGGATAGATATTGTTTTTCCCTATGTCTACTTTCAAAAGACAAACTTTTTTCTGAAGGGCACCTAATTTTATGCATCCAAAAGAACTTTTAAAACAAATAAACATCTGACTGTCATATTAATTAGTTTGAATATTGTTTCTTTGACGTAACAGAAAATAAATCTCTTCCGCTCCTTAAACTGTTACCGGCACTATACCAATTGACAATATCTACTTTTTCTTCAGTTTAATACATCGCACACGAACTAAAATAAAATACGGAAGCTAAAGCAACAATATTTAAATTAATTAATCTGACAGCCAGATCTTTATTTGTTTTAAGAAGTTATTTTGGTTGCATAAAATTAGGCGCCCTTCAGAAGAAATGTTGTCATTTAAAAGTAGATATAGGAACAAATAATACACATAAATCCCTATGTGTACTTCTTAATAAATAACACTGTATACATAACCTTGTTTGTGTTTATTTACTCCTATTTTATTCCTGTATTTCAAAATTATATTCTCTTTATTGTTATCGTCTTTTACAAACCCAGTCTTTATCAAGACTGCAGTTTGGGAGTACCCAATTCGTATATTAGCCGTTGAGGAATTCCAAAAAAACGTACCCCGCCCATAATGTTGCTTATTGCGATGTGCTTTGCCGTCACATTAATCGCGATAGATTGATTTCATAATACAGGAAGTATTGTGTATGGAAAATCACCAGGTCGACCACCAAGCGGTTTAGGACAGGTTTTTACCACAATTTTTATTTGTCCGATGTCGAATATAAATAAGTTTATCTAATTCCATAATTATTGTAAGTACATCTTCAAATAACGATTAAGTGTATAAATTCACGGCGCCAAAGTGTGTTGGTGCCAAAATGTCATCGCGTCATAATAACCCAGCTCCAAACTGTCCGGATCAGCATTTGGGGCGAGGAGGCTGTAAATGTTCGTGCTCGTCCGGAATGAAGTCCTAAGAACATATCCTACAATCTTCTCGACTTCGTAATGCGTGTAAATTACTGAAACTAACTTGAGGTTTCTTAATACTTGGAGTGCTCTGTTTCATCCTCGGAAAGTAGGAGTTTGGTTAGAGATATCAAAAAGACGAATTGTGGGGCCAATATTCTTTGACGGTGCCGTTCCTGGGAAACGCTATCGTGCTATGCTGCAAAATTTTATGGACCAACTCAACGATGTCAAACTAAGAGAAGTCTTCTTTCACCATGACAAGCCACATACATACGTCGATGACCGAATTATTGGAAAAATCGTTGGCCTCCAAGATCGCCTGCTTTAACGCCGTTAGACTACTTTTTTTTCGGTCACTTGAAGAATGTTAATTATTAAAATCGATTACACAACCTCGAAGTTACAGCAATTCATTACTACAGTCTTATTTCATAAGAGCAGATCAGTTACTGTTTCTTGATCGCATTGTACTATTATTGAGCAAGTCCTTCGGACTTTTTCGCCGAAACTGAGAAAACAATAATTATGACATTCCTGATCAAAAT